CCTTGGCCCAAATAAACTCGGGCCGGGCTAGCAATTTGATAGTCTATAGTACTTTCGACCCAACCCCACCAAAAATTGATGTAGTTCATAATTAGTCTAGAGGACTCTATCTAACATAAATTAACATTTTTATTTTTTGACACAATGTTAATACTGAGGTTTGAATCGATGACCTCAAATATATTACTAAAGCTTTCATCACTAGATTAATCCTAATGACTTAATTTACTAGTACTACTGGCTTATTGACTTTAAACGGCCTAACCATAATCCAAAAGAAACATGTCTATGTTGTATTAAAATATTTCACTACCAAAGTCCAAAGATATTCATAATTAGATATACAGTTGTATTAAAAGTTTAGCATGAAGAGAATTTTTATTCTTATCATCTTGTCGGACTTGAATTAAATTAATAGAATAATCAATTAACTGATGATAAAATCTTATATATATGAGAAGAGATTTTTTGACTCTAACGTTGGATTAAGATATCTTATTTCTCATCTTAACCGTTGTTATGGACCTGTATAAGGTTCATATGCCTAAAAAAGCCCAACAAAGGGTTATTACATGACAGCTATATAAAGTACGAATGAGCTCGTGAATTACAAGGCCCAGAACTCCAATACCCCCAAGTAAGCTCTATAAATAGGAGGTAAAGCTTACAGGAATAACTTAATCTCTCTCTTCCTGTAATATTATCACTGTGCACACACACCACCCCCTTTGGCTAATGTCGTTATCGTTATGTATAGTGATCTGCTGTCTCAACTTGTCTAATCTATAGATACTAGAGAGAGTGACATATCCTATATTGATATACTAGCCTTTGGTTAGATATCTCTGTCATACAGACAGAACATTGGCGCCATCCGTGGGGATTAGGTAAATTTCTATTCCCATCCAAATATGGAGAAAGCCCTCAAAGAGCTTTGTCTTCTCGCGTCAAAAGAAAAACAAATATAAAATCCATGAGAAATCAATTTGGGGATTTCCTGCACGACAATCATTTCGAAGAAGCAACTTTACATAAGGAAAAATTTTGTAATTATTCATGGGTCCCACAAGGAAAGGCTCTTGCTTGCTTAACTTTTACATAAGGAAATCAGGTGGACACGTTATTGGAATAAATTTCCTATGGGTCTAGAAAGATCTTTTTTGGAAATCACATGGGAACACAAAGCAAGTCAATGTTGGGTACTTTAGCATCAAGTAAATTTCGCAAGACCTGCACAAGGAGAGCAACTTGAAGCATTTCGTCGTCAAGTCCAAAAAAGCTTACGACTTTGATCAGATATGAAAGCTGCTGCAAAAGAAGCAGGGGCTCAGATATTTAAGCCACTGCAAAGGAAGCAGGAGATCAGATATGAAAGCCACCGCAAAAGAAGCGGGGCCCAAATTCAAAGAACCATGATACTTGAAGCCAAAATCTAACAATGGGCGAGCCTTGGCATAAAGTCAGGTTCTCGCAAAAGCATATTGCAAGACAAGGGCTTCTAGCCGAGGTGTAGGAAAATGGAGGGACGCTTCCGCGTTCCAGAATGTTGTCAAATAAACAACATGTACAAGTTATTATAAATGAAAGCAGACTTAAAAATTAAAGGGCATATTGATACGACTCTGATCAAGTCACCACGATACCTTAATAACTAGCAAAAAGCCAAGTTTTAAAACCTAGTTAAGAAAACCTGGTTAGATTGAATAAGCAGAGTCCATATATATGAATAATATGACCTTAGCTAGGTCAGAATAGAAGCCATGGTATGTGAAGGCAGGCTAGATCCAGTAGTTGAGGGTAAAACTTGAAAATGGTTAAAAACTCAAGTTGATACTTAAGGGTAAAGCCTAAAAGGTTAAAAACTCAAGTTAGTACTTAAGGGTAAATCCTTAATGGTTAAAACCTTAAGTTTTGAAGATAAACTTGGTATGCAGGCACTTGAACCTTCATACCTGTACTTAAGGGTAAAGCCTTAACGGTTAAAACCTTGAAGATAAATCAGGTATGCAGACACTTGAACCCTCATACCAGTGCTTAAGGGTAAAGCCTTAAAGGTTAAAACATTAGGTTTTGGAGAAAATATATATCCAGAATAACCATGCAAATCAAAAGAAAGGACCGGGAACAGACCTGGTAATATAAGTTACAAATTTAAGATCGGTTCAAAGGCCCCCAAATCAGCAAAAGTATAGTACAAAAGAAATCGCCATTCTGGTACGTAGTTACCCATCCAGAATATTCGAGAAGACTGACTTAAAGGAAAATGCCTCTAGGCCAGCACCTCGGTCAGCCCAAAATAGGACAAGATAGCTTATAGAAAGACCGAATAAAAAGAATCCAGACATGGCCAGAGTTCAAAAACAACAATGCTCAACAAGCCCGGACTCCAAGATTGCTGGGCTGGGGGGCAAGCATGGTAGCGATCTCAACAAGGCGGTCAAAAAATAAGATCAGCCAGCCCGAACTAGTGCCTCGACCAAAAAGGTTGAGGGAGAAATACCGAAACAACATACTTAGTACCCGATTCACGAAACCCGGTTGATTTTGAACACAATCAGAGACAATAATTGTAATCTTCGACTCAACTAAATCGGCCAAGAAGAGTTCCAATTCAGAGAAAAATTGTTGGAAAAAAAAAGACAAGTCCTTCAAATGCAGAGACCACCGCTATTACACTGGCAGCCTGGACAACCAAACTTCAGGGTTGGGGCAACTGTTATGGATATGAAAAAGGCCCATATTCTAGAAGGTCCAATAAAGGACAACATAAAAGGAAAGTCATGCAAATAAGGAAGATAATCCTCTACTAATGACGATCCTATCTTGACAGTTAAGTAGTTGGACTTCGCCCCCCAATATTCCTAAGTGACCCAAAAATACACTTAAGCCAGGTAACTCATCTATAAATAAACGGTTAAGCCAATAAGGTACACACATTCTAAATCCTCTCTCTCTTGGCTGTCATTGTACACACACTACACGCTTTGGCTATGCCGTCTATCATAGTACACAGTGATCCGCTGATCTCTAAGGCACAACCAAAATGCAAAGCCTCTATCATCAGGATTCAAAATCTAGAAATGTACCAGAGCATGCAAATAGCTAACTACATTTGCAAGAAATAAACCAACATAATATGACATTAGAAGTACCTGATTAACAAATGAGAATGAGGAAACGCGTGAAGAGGATGAAGATGCTGTGGATAACTCTCAAACACAGAAAAGAAGGTGCCAAAAGAAGTGAAGAAGAATAAGTGGGTGCCCATATAAAGAAGAAAAGAGAAAGTTAAACGGTTGAAGCCCGCGAAATGAATAGACAGGGGCAAAGTTGTAATATCATAAGCCAGACAGGACGTTAAACAAATACAAAAGACATGCACCAGTTTGCGGCGAACGTTAAACAAATACAAAAATTCCACCTGAAAAGAGGTTATCATTACATGGAAGAGAGAAGGACTCCAAAAGCACGTCAATTATATTAAACCAGGATCTCGAAATGACATCTTTACCTCAAATATTTGTATTATGAGGGCTAAGGAAGTAAAATTAACTCTGCTATTATTGCGACAATACATATACTTCATTAACCCGGATATCCAAGCTGGGGCACTAGAAAGGTAACAACTACGACCACATCAATTTTCAACATAAAGAAATCTATTTGTGGATTGAAACACAACAAACTTGAAGCAGAGTTTATAAACAAGCATGAAGACGAATTTGGGAAGTCATGATCTGGGTAAAAGGATTCATACCCCAATTCGTGGTAAGATTCGAGATATACATAAAAAATAAAGACATGATCATAAAGCTATTATGCACCCTAGCAGATCGAGGAATAGCTACTGGGTTGGGGGCAACTATTATGGACTTATATAAGGTCCATATGCCTAAAAAAGCCCAATAAAAGTCTATCATATGACAGCTATACAAGATTACGAATGGACTTATAAATTATAAGGCCCAGAACTCCAATACCCCCAGGTAAGCTCTATAAATAGGAGGTAAAGCTTACAGGTATGACCTAATCTCTCTCTTACTGTAATATTGTCACTGTTCACACACATCACCTCCTTTGGCTAACGTCGTTATCGTTGTGTACAGTGATATGCTATCTCAAGTTATCCAATCTATAGATACCTAGAGAGAATACCAGATCCTATATTGATCTACTAGCCTTTGATTAGACATCTTTGTCATACAGATAGAACAACCGCTAATTTCTATCCATCTAACATTCTTAATTTATTTGGAAAATAAGACTTCTCTATGTTACACTGTAGTCAAAAGATCTTTCCTCTCCTCTCTCTCTTTATATATGTATATATTATATAAAATGTTATATTATCACTCATTTTCCCTTATAAAAGGTTATATATGTATAAATTATGGGTAAAATATTTTTTCAGTCACGGGAGATAACTTATCTCCCGTGACCCCCCAAAACTACATCGTTTTGAATTAATAAAGGATGTTTTCGTAATTTTAGAGAAATTAATTAAGGATATTTTGGTAAAATTCACATAATAAAAAAATTACGAAAACACCCTTCATTAATTTAAAACGACGTAATTTTCGAAGTCATTGAATATAACTTATCTCCAATGACCGGATAAATACTTTACCCATAAATTATAATCGTTGATTGACGAAAAACGTTTGTCCTTTTCGAAATACGTTTATCTTTTTAAATGATATAATTTTGTGTCATTTTAGATCTCAATCTTTGATTTTCGTTAATCAATGATTATAATTTATTGGATCAAACTTATTAATTAATTAATAATTTACTAAAAATTAAAATCATTGATCGACGAAAATCAATGGTTAGAATTTAAAATGACACATAATTATATCTTTAAAATGAAAACAAATACTTTTTCCCAAAATCGAATAATGGTTAAAAAAGTGATAGTCAAGTTGGATAAATATGAAGGCCCAAAATATTTAAAGCCCAAGCAATTGTACTTATGACAGTAGAAATTAGGACACAGGGTAGTTCTCATTGTATCCAAGAAAAGAACACGGGGTAGAAGTAGAACTCTTGTTCATCACGTTGAAAGTTTAGCGGCATGGCGACATTGGATTCCGACGTGCCAATGGTGCCGGCCGGCGAGTCCTCCCTCGGCGCCGGTCCCTCTTCTTCCAAGAAACCCAAGCGCTTCGAGATCAAGAAGTGGAATGCCGTTTCTCTCTGGGCTTGGGGTGCGTCTCTCCCAAACCCTAATGTCCTGTTCCCTCTCTTTTTTACACTCCGATTCTCTGTCGATTATCTTTACTGTTTTTGACGAAATCTCTCTTTTATTCCTTTCTGGTTTCTGTAATTGCAGACATCGTTGTCGATAATTGCGCTATTTGTCGGAACCATATCATGGATCTATGTAAGCGTGTTGTTTCAACTGGTTTATTTGTGAACATCATTGTTATAAGAGAATGAACTAATTCCCTTTGATCACTGCTTTAGGCATTGAGTGCCAGGCTAACCAGGCTAGCGCCACTAGCGAGGAGTGCACCGTAGCTTGGGGTATGCTCCAAAAACCCTATAATATATCTTTCAATTAAATACGCCATTCCTTTCAGAATGATATTCTAGCTATTGTTTTTAATTAATTGGTGTTTTTATGTAAGATTACGTTTTGGAAGATATTCGGTGAATTATTGTCTTTTGGTATGCATGAATTCGTGAAGCAAGTTGTTGATAAAAGCTGTAGGGTTATACAAAATAAATAAATAAGGGCTATTTGAGTTAAGATGACAAAGCTAAGGAAAAACATGTTTTGATCCACTTAGTCCTAAACCCTCTCTGGTGTTGTTTTTGCTATGGTATGCTGTGTGTGTGATTGTTTGTTGCTCCTTCAGTGGGACAAAAGGTGCAATTCGTTCCTAGGCTGTGATGTAAGCTTTCCTGAGTTTGTCTTTCCATGTTTCTTTGTTTTTCTCTCATTCATCTTAGTCTGGTTACTCTGATCCTGGTTCTTTATGTTATTGCACTTTTATGTTCTTTATGTGATGTAAGCACTTTTTCTTAACCCTAAACCCTAATATACCATAGTGGCATATTTTTCATCATTTAGTGTTTTGTTTTAATCTGGCAGCGTAATCTTCATGATGCCTCAAATTGATATGATTTTTTGGGGCTTTTTGATTAGGCATTGTTCTTATTGTAAAATGAATTTTTTTCCCTCTTCTCTCTTTCTAAAAATTCAAATTTTACTCACAAAGCAGCCTTGCAAAATAGTTATATTCATGAGCAAAATCAGTAGAAAATGAGTAGAACCCTTCTATGAGGAAACATCATCCTTTCTGACTGAATGTGAGAATTTAGGGGTGTTCAAAATGTCCAAAAGATCCAAACCGATCTATAACCAGACTGCTCCACATTTAAAAAACCAGTTTTTTTTAAAATCGGTTTCATACGAAACTGCATTTTATTTTATAAATTGGTTATTTACCAAACCATAAAAATAATTGGTTATCCATAATCAAACTGCTCTACTTTCTCCCTGACATCTTTGCCAAGAAAATTGTGGGTGGTTTCGAGGAGGCAGTTCTACAAGAAGTGCGACATTTATTACGGCGATGCAGCGGCAGTGTTTCAAGACTGCGTAGTGTACGCACGTTATAGAGAGCACATGACGTTCACAGCTTAGTCATGAGAGGATAGTAATGAGAAGACAGGGTTCACATTCCAAAGATGCAATTTCACAATGTCCCCAGAGCCGGAGCAATTTTTTTTTATAATTTAAAATAATTCAATTGTTCTTCTACAAATCTATAGAGTTCCAAGACAATGAAGATTCTTGCAAGAAATAGTTGGCCAACTACCTATAACCAGGAGAAACAAACGACTACTTATAAAAATAGCACAATTTATCAAAAATCGATTTTGAATTTGTTACAAAACTGGTTTATGGTTCATAACCAGTTTTGATTCAAAACCGGTTTTAAATCAAAACCGGTTATGAACCATAAACCAGTTTTGGAACCGGTTGCAAACTGGTTTGAAAAATTAAAAGCCGGTTTTTAAAAAAGAAAACCGGTTCGGTTTGAAAACCAAACCGTTTAAAACAGGTTCGGTTTGGTTTTTGTCAAAACCAGTTATGAACCGCTCCATGCACACCCCTAATAAAAAATACTTTCGCCGAGTAAAAGGAGAGAGAGGGATACACCAATTCGTTATGTATGGATGATGAGATTCCATTGATACATAGCCAACCGTTCTTTTTTCTCTGACAGATGGTTAGAACGTCATCTGGGGTCGAATCCTACTGTATGAGATCAGACAGTTTTATGGTTAGAAGTGAAAGAAAACTATACATATATTTATTGGGAACCATTAGTGTTAGGATGTGCCCATCCCATAAGAATGCAACCCAAAAGTTCAATGGTAAACACACTTTTCGAAGATTCAAGCAAAAAGCCAACAGCTAATCATTATCAGTTTTGCTCTTTACCAGCTATAGATGCAATGGAGATACTAATAATTATTGCTATGCAAATCCTGGATTTTTGGTTTTTTTTTTTCCTTTGGTGATTATCCTAGATTTGTTTTGGTTCTTATTATTGAGGTTTGCTAACTTGATGATTATACTGGCATTTAGATTCTAGATCATTCTACCTCAATATGGAGATAACTGGTTTGAATAGCTCATCTTTGAAATTTAAGCCATAACGTGGTCAGTTTATTTTTAAATCTAATTGCACTTTCTTGACCTGGGAAACTGTGGTTTGAACCTTGAGAATCAACTCTTATGGTGATCTTAAATTTTATGCTTGCCCATTCATCACTGCTCCTATTGCTATAAATTTTTGTTGTTGTACGAGGGCAGTAGATCTTGATTTATTTGTTGCTTTGAAGTTTAATAAATATCTTTTTTGAGAAATAGTTGTACAGTTTGTTGACCGTGATTGAACTTTTTGACTCTACAATGGTTTTGGTATGGGTAGATCCAATTAATGGAGTCATTGGGATGATACACCTGCATTTGTTTTTTGGGTTGGGGGTGGGGGGGATAATACTATTCAAGTCCCGTCATCATCTGTTACCTGCCTTAAGGCATTTTCACATTTCCAATCATTCCCTCCTCAAAACCATCACACAGAACATCAGCTGTTCATCCTCACCAAACAAGCTATCGTGATGGCAACTTTTGATGGTAGGCCAGGGTTAAGTTTGACAGAGTAGGGAAGGCACTCGGGTGAGAGCTGGAGAGAGCAGACAATAAGGGCGTGAAGTTGCAAGAGAGACGGAGAATGCATGGGAATTGGGTTGGGATAGGATAATCACATCTGGATAATTTTGTCTTACATTATAATTTATATGTATATATATATATATGTATATTATTCGATAATCAATATTATATTATCCTCCCGGTATCTTAATTTTTTTTTAAATTTTCATATTTGCATGTCGTATTGGATACTTGTATCCATATCTGGGCACAGGGCAACACAGTAAAATTCCATGTTAAACTATTTCGTTAGGTGGTTTTTTTTTTTTAAATAGAATGGTTGCACTGAGGTTTGAACTTATGACCTTATGGAAACTACCTAAATCTCTCATCACTAGACCTATCCTAGTTGGCTTAATCTCTCATCACTAGACCTATCCTAGTTGGCTTATTAGGTGGTGTTTTAAAGAATAGTTCATAGGTCATGTCTCTAGTTATATAAGCTTCTCTAGTTGTTAGTTTTTGGCTTAGCATGAAGTGCATGATTACTAAAACCGTTGCTTGTTCTGGCTGATGTCCTTGTTCAGGGGTATGTAACCATGCTTTTCACTTCCATTGCATAAGCCGATGGCTCAAGACCCGTCAAGTATGCCCACTAGGTATGTGGGCCTTGATCCTTTCACCTCTCCTTTTCTATTTGGACCCAATTATTTATTGCGCTTCTCACCTCCTTGGTGTATGTCTGCTCTGATACAGATAACAGTGAGTGGGAGTTTCAGAAATACGGTCACTAGAACTTTGATGCGGCTGAGCTACTTCGTACTTGGACATTTGGACTGTCTCATTTCTATTGAACATTTACAGCTGCGTGCATTATTGTCTTTTGCTTTTCTTCTAGAGTTACAATCTGGTTGAACTTGGAATCGGATCATGAACATGTCCGTCTTAGTCAATGGATGGTCATGTATGCAACCCGGTCATAAACCGGGTTCAATTAGTGCAAACCCAGACCTTGTATCAGTTTGAACCGGTTCTTGAAAATAGTGGCAAAATATTTCATCACAATTGCGCTCTTAGATTCAAACTTGGCACATAAGAAAAGGAATGAAATGTTAATCACTAAGTCATATTATTTTGGTACATAAGAAAAGTCATTATTTTGGTTGTTACATTATTTCTACTAGTTATATATCTTACAACATATCTTTACACAAATTTGATTCAATTGGTGATCCAATGATTCAATACCTCAATCGAGTTGATGATAATACTGAAAATATCTCTAATGCACGGTCACACACAGCTACACCTTCACTTCAACATCTGATCATGTTATTACTTTTCAAGTAGAAAAGATCCTGTAATTTTTTAGGGTTTTTCTCGTGCACGAGATAATTTTATTTTTTACATATATATTAAAATATGTGGAATTTATGTGGGTTCATGTAAAAAAAAGAAAGAAAATATAGGTTTAATATATTTTTATGTATTTAGAATATAAAATTATTTCTATTGACATGAGAAACATTTATTTTTTAATATACAAATGTCGCATCTCCAGCTGTGGTAATTCACTCAATGACACAATTTATATGGAATATAGCACATACTGTTCCGAAAATATTCACGAACAGAATTTAAGAAAATTCTATATTCGCCTAATAAATTTTCTTAATGGATTATCCTAGTTACGCAAAGAAAAATATTATATATATTTTAATTCCCAATACATAAAATCATTGTACTCTTTGATATAACACTTGTTTAAAGTAATCAAAAGGATTTGCTCTGAAAATGTTAAACTAGGATCTAAACTTCAGCAAGAGAAGAAATCCATTCAATTTTTAATGTAAAATGCAAGTAGGATTGATAACCTGAAGATCGAGCTCAAACACGCAACAAACTTCCCAGCAAAAATGAGATAGCGTTATGAAGCACGTTGCTCAATATTAAAGTTAAATTTTGAGTAAATATCTTTTTCGGTACTCAGTAAATTTCACGATATCCGCTTTAGTTTCTAGCAAATAAAAAGGTTATTCGTGGTCTTAAAAAATTCAAAATAAATCCATTTTAATCCTTTTGACAGACTAATGTAAGTCTTTTTTGCTAAGGATTAAAAAAGATATTTACTCTTGAACTTTACAAGTTAGCCTTCGTATACGAGCAGTTTTGCCTGAATTCTTCATTATCATTACTATTATATGCTACTAATTTTGCTTCACACGAGTGACTGACAAAGAAATGTTAGTCGTACAGAAAGGGTTTTGCACATATTTTACTCTGGTTAGAAAATTGCTTTAAGCCATCCAATTATTATGCTCTCTGCAAGGTCTCTGGAGAAAATATTTTTGGATATATTGTTAAGGGAATATATTTTTCATATTACATGACATAATTTATCTCATGTAATACATAAAAAAGTAGATAGGATCATAGGACCCACAAAGGAGAAAAGAGAAAAAGAAAAAAAGTGGATCTCACCTGTTATTTGTGTATAAACATAGGCTCTAATGTTTCTATAGTGAATGCTCATAAATTATCTACATTCATTCTCAAAATTACGTCTTTTGAATTAAAAAATTAAAAATTTATAATGATAAAGACTATTATAACCTTGGAATAAATTATAAATGCAAAAACACATTGATTTTCGTTCCAAAATAATATCATTTTGGACTCAATACAGGTAACTTATCTCAAAAAATTGAACCCATAAATATATTTCCCTATTGTTTTCTAATTCCACTCCATTTGTCAAATCAGTAGACAACTAAATAAAAAGACTCAATGCAAACCCACTAGGTTTGGTTTAGTGCTGAGCAATTTAACTACTTTGTATTATATTACGTGTTGAATTTATACTTATATGACAAACAAAAAAACTGAATGCAAACGGAACACCACCAAACAAAATAGGTTAGTATGAATTAACATTTTTTTTACTGAAAATATAATTTCTCATGTTGCATGAGACAAATTGTCTCACATAATATACAAAAAGGTGAATATGACTTGTTTGTTTTCTTTTTCTCTCATTTTTTTTATGGGACTATCCACTTTTTTATGTGTTGCATGAGATAATTAATATAAGAAACTATATCCCCTTGTTTATTTGATGAATAGTTAGAAATAGTTTTTTTCATTAAGTATAACAATAAATAACATATAATCATAGTGAGCCCACACTAATGACCTAATAAAATAGACTCCCCAATCTAACCACTAGTATCCATGTGGTGCTTATTTTTAATTTTACTTTAATTTTTTTAATTATTTTTAACGAGATAAATTGATCTTTGATTTTCAAGGGATGAGGGATTGACTTGGGCTTGAAAAAAACCCGCCCAAACACCCATTGTCAAGCCTAAGTAAAACGCAGGCATAACTAATTTCATTAACAGCCATAAATGTGATAAGAAAAAGTATGAGATAGAGAGAGAAAAATAATTGTGATAAAATATTTCTAAATTTATGAATATTTGTTGGAAAAAATATGTATCATTTTAAAGGATGTAAAGTTATATCATTTTAAGTGAAATGAAAGAGATAGATAAAGGAAGAGAAAGAGAATGGATAAAAAAAAATTAAAGATGTCCCACCTCTTTACGAGGAAAAAATTTATGGTGCGATCACCATGGTCCTTCAATTGAAATTTTGACACTTGATTTAAATTTTTTTTTATCTTTTTTCTCTCTCCTCTCTCGTCAATTTTTTTCTCTTTCTCACTTTTTGCTTACTGAATATTGTGTGCTCCAGAGTATTAAATATGCTCTCCTTTATGAGAATAAAATGATAGAAGTTGCATTAATTAAAAGGACAAATATTTTTTCTATATTTGTTTTAGTAAATAAATTTATGAATATTTTTTGTGAAAATAAAAGTGTTATAATTGTGAAGCATGCGAAGATAAAAAGATTACGTAAAGTATTGGAAGTGCTAGTGCTTGCGTGTAAAATAGAAAGTGACTGATCGATCGCTACAGATAAAAATAGAATTAGAACTCCATATGGTAAAAACAAATCGAACCGCATAGGGATGTAAACAGCCGAACGGTTTGTCAGGAATTTAAGGTTTGAATTATTTTAAGTTTCGCTTGGCTTGATTTATTTAATAAATAGAATGAAGTTAAGTTTTTTAAAAAAGTTTGTTTAACAAATAAGACAAAGCCTAATTTAATGAGGCTTGACTTGAAAGTTTGTGAGCCGACTCTATATATTATTATAATAAATAATATATTTTGTTCCGGTTATATAGCTTGAAAGATGTAATTATATGTGGACTAAGTGAGTTCTATGTAGGGGTGTTCATCACTCGATCCAAACCGATTTAAACCGCGGTGACCGAATCGAAAAATCAATAACCGAATAAATCGAAAACCAAAAAACTGAAAACCGATTAAAAATCGCAAATTTTAATTGGATTGGATCGGTTTTCATCATCCCATCAAAAAACCGATCCAACCCAAACCAATCCAATATATTAATTTCCCTCTACCTACTTGGGTATTTCCCTAATCATAGCCTAAAAATTTCTAAACCCAAGACTCGTTAGCCCATCAACTAAATCCAAGAAAAAATCTAGTCATATCTCATCAACAAAATTTTATCTTTGTAGAGCTTCATATCTCATTGCCAAAATTAAAAAAATTATATTATAGTTTACTAATTCTTTTGTATTTCAAAAAAAATTTTTACAAAGCCAATATATTCAAAAGATGTTATTTGCACAATAATCATGAAATAAATTTTAGGATTTTCAAAAAATCAAAAACTGATCCAATCCAAACCGAAAAAAATTGGATTGGATCGGATCGGATTTGAAAAAAAATCAAAACCGAATGGATGATTATATTATTAAACCGAAGGGATTGGATCAGATGATTTTTGCTTCCAAAACCGATCCAATCCAGACCGCGAACACCCCTAGTTCTATGATTGTTTTTTCTGTGACGAAGGAATACAAAATTTGATGCATTTATAGTCTCAAACTTTGGACGCATATGAGTCTGGAAAAAATATTTTCTATAATTATAAATGAGTTAAGCCAAGCTCAAACCAAACCTTTAATTTTTCATAAACAAATCAAGCCAAGCGTAGAATTTAGCTCGTTCCAGGCTAATCGGTCAAGCCAAGTTCAAAATATTTTTCATAAGCTTGACTTGTTTAAGTTAAAGCGTGGCTCGACCCAGCTCATTTACACCCCTATGCACAAGAAAGAGTCATATGACTGATACTAGGAATGTAAATAGGCTAGGCTAGGTTTTGACTTAAATAGGTCAGACATGTGTACAAGACCATATGTTTGGCTTGGCCTGTTAGCCTGAGTAGGCCCCAGATTACAAGTCTGATCTGACTTATATTTAAAAAATAAAAGTCTTGTCCTAGGCCTGTTAACCTATTTAAGCCTATTAAACATTTAACAATTAAAAAAATAACTAAAATAATATTATTTTATTATTCAAAATTATTAAAATAATAATTTTATTTTATTTAAAATAAATAATATGATATAGGGCAGCCTATAGGCTTCTAGGCCCGACATATACAAAAAAAGCCTATGGCCTGCTTTCTAAATAAATTTTTTTTGAAAAATTTAGGCCTATTTTATTTGACTATATGTAATAGGTCAATCCTACCTTAATATAGGCTATGTAGGCCACAGGCCCCTGCCCCTTGTAGGCCGGCCTAGCCCATTTACACTTGATACCATACAGTACTTGTTCACTATACTAGAAGTCCCTTGGCTGTCATTGGTGAGTGACATACTTTTTATACCTTGATTTAAGTGATAATTACAATTATATTCTTACACTAATGCAAACCTAATATACACACACTAACACTAGAATATATTCGTTTCAACAAACTCTCAAAAGACAGAATATAAAAAAAAAAAAAAAGTCTCCCCCAACTCAATTACTGTAAACCTAACCCATGAAATTCACATCATCACAATTTGACCTCACTGGCCATTATAGGCTTCAATTTCTCTTGGTCAGCCTTCTGCTAGGGACCTAAAATTGAATGTGTTATTTTTAATAACTTAAGTTTTCTCATTCTCATTAAATGCATTTGGTTGAAAGGTGAGTTTTTGATTATGACCAATGGCCTCCAATTCCTAAAGGAAATCTCTTCCCAACCACAATTGTCATATTCCTCTTTCTATATATTATTTATTTTTCCCTGCACGTTCTCTACTTCTCTCTCTTTCTCTTTCTGTCTTGCCTTTGTTTTCTGTTGCAGGCTTAGCAGCTTCAACGGTTAATTTAACTTCCACATTGTGGCCTGGCCCCACCTCAAGATTCTACATTATGGGTTCCCTTTTTCTCCATTCTTTACTCATAATTTCAGGGTTATAACTTATAAATCCCTCTAGAAAAAGGTCTCTCAACCTCTGACAAAAACACCAAACACCTTCTGTTATGCTTCTTCTGCTTCTGTTCCTGTTCCTGTTGTTGTTGTTGTTAGGCTAATGGATCATTCTCTGAATTCATCTATGGGAAAATCAGTACCTGCCAGTGCCAATGAAAACCCAAGTTATCATGAGGAAAGTGGTTGGACTTCTTACTTGGAAGATTTCTCTAAAGACATGGAGCCCAGTTCCTGTTCCAGTTTTGGTGGCTCCTCTTTGGTCTCAGATGCTGCTTCTTGTGCTGCATGGAAGTTCTCACATTCAGTTAGGGTTAGGGACTCATCAAATAATTACCCTAAGAAACTATGTTTCAAGAAAACAAGAACCAAACAGATATCAGAGGATGACCCTTTGGAGGACACTGCTAGCTCCCCTGCCAATAGTCCTAAGGTATGTAATTATGTAATCAATCATATCTGATTTTTCCTTCTTTCTTCTTTCACCATATTATTCATTGGTGAACCTTTTTTAAAATCCTTTTTATCTGCAGGTAGGAGACTTGAATCCAATGGAAATGGTTTCAAGGAAGATTGATGATCAACTAGATGGTTCTAGGGTAACCCTTTTGCTTTATAAATTATTATTATTATTATTTTTTGGACTTTATTAATCTCATGCAATAGGAAAGAACTCTCTCATGCAATAGAAATAATCATGTGTGGAATTTACCTATTGTAGAAAAAGAAAAAAGGAATAAAAAAGTAACACAGAAATCGATGTATGTGTAGGAGAAAAAACTCTCTCGGACAACAGAAGAGTATATTTTTCCTTTTTTTTTTTTTATCTTAAGGGAAGAAATAATTTTGGTTCTCTATCCTAACCAAGTTCTGTGGTTTGTGGTGTGGTGACGATTCTGCAGGATAAGGGATTTGAGTCAAAGTTGAAGACAGATGAAGGTGACCTAAATTTTAATGGAAATAATGTTGAGTGCACAGACTTGAAGAAAAGGGGTCTTTGCCTTGTTCCATTGTCCATGTTGGTTAATTATTATGGGTGATTGATACTTTTGTCTACTGACTCCACTTCCTCTATCTCCCTCTCTTCCCCTTCTTGTATCCTTTTCTTTGTGTTCTTCTTCTATGTAACTTAACTGCTCAGGTTATGTTGCTGTACACATAGCATGATCAATGACTGATAATCTGTATAATTATACCAATCAATGTTAACATGAGACCGGAAGTTATGTTTTATTGATTTGTTCATGAAAAGAAACTTAATTAGATAGTGTCTGCAAAAGGAGACTATTTTCTCAATAAGCACACAAATAATAATAGTAATAAGAATAAACAAAGTAGATAAGCAAACTAAGATAATGTTCGGAAAAGATGTGGATGGCATTAATATAAATTTGCAATTAATAAACTAAACGTCGATTTAAAAAAGTTAGTGTGAAAGGGAGAGGAAAAGATCAACTTTTCATGCTGCTTATTGGTAATGGATGCAGGTGAAAAAGGCCAAAGAATGGTGACACAATAGTCCATGTGAACCTGTGGGTCAAAAGGTTTTAAGTAATTCAAATCTTCATTTTACTTGAGGAAAAGCTCTCATCTAAAGCTTATATATTAAACAAGTGTATATTGAGTTTTAGTAGATTAAAATTACAGACAAATATTTCTGTATTACTGCAGATAAATTATCTGCATTTACTCTTAAAATGATGTCGTTTTGAAATTGAAACATTAAAAAATTATAATTATAAAGATTAAAATAACCCTGAAATAAATTAAAATTATAAAAATATTATGATTTCCGTTCCAAAACGATATCGCTTACAGTAAATAACTTATCTGCAGTAGGGGTGTGCAAAAAAACTGGTTCACTTGCCCTGCCCTTGATCCGACCTTGACCCGACCCATAAATACCCATATTTTTTGAACTGGTTTAAATACTGACCCACTTTTATTTGGGTCAGTTTTTGACTTGACTCGTTTTAATAATGACCCACTGACCCAAAACTTGACCCATACCCATTATGTGAAAAAAAAATCATAATTACATTAAAAGAAAAGTTTTAACGTAAAACAATTACGTCAAAATTTTTTATGAAAAATATTTTCATAATACGAAAAAATTTTGACGAAAAATATTTTCATCAAAATTTGTGACTAAAAACATATCGGTAAAAAATTTGACGGAATATTTTTTTTGTCAAATTTTTTTACGGAATCTAAATTTCGTCAAAATATTTCATAAAAACTTTCGACGAAACACATTTTCATCGAAATTCTTTGACGGAAAAAAATTTCATCAAAATTCTTTACAGATTTCAAATTTCGGCGAAAGTTTTCGACGGAAACATTTTCGTTAAACTTTTTGACAAAAAAAATTTCGTTGAAATTTTTAGCGAAACACAGTTCTATCAAAAAATTTCGACTAGATATTTTTGTCAAGTTTTTTGATAAAGAATATATCCATCAAAATTTTCAACGGAACACATTTCTGTAAAAAAATTCGTAAAATTTTTTGACAAAAATATTTCGATAAGAAATTTTGACAGAAAAAATATTTTGTCTAAATTCTTTAGAGAATCTAAATTTCGTCGAAAGTTTCAAATGAAACATTTTCCTCAAAACAATTTCCATTGAAAATTTTGACGAAACACATTTCCATCAAAAAATTTCGACGGCAAAAAATTTCATTAAAATTATTTACAGATTTCAAATTTCGGCGAAAGTTTTCGACGGAAATATTTTCGTCATCAAAAAATTTTGACGGCAAAAAATTTCATCAAAATTCTTTATAGATTTCAAATTTTGGCGAAAGCTTTCGACAGAAACATTTTCGTTATCAAAAAATTTTGACGGCAAAAATATCGACGGCAAAAAATTTGATCAAAATTCTTTACAGATTTCAAATTTCGGTGAAAGTTTTCGACGGAAATATTTTTGTCATCAAAAAATTTCATCAAAATTCTTTATAAATTTCAAATTTTGGAGAAAGTTTTCGACGGAAACATTTTCGTCATCAAAAAATTTTGACGGCAAAAAAATTCATCAAAATTCTTTACAGATTTCAAATTTCGGCGAAAATTTTCGTTAAATTTTTTGACAAAAAATAAATTTCGTCGAAATTTTTAGCGAAACACATTTCCATCGCAATTTTTTAACTAAATATTTTCCATCAAATTTTTTAACGAAACACATTTCTATAAAAAAATTCCGTAATTTTTTTTTACAAATAAAACATTTTGACGAAAAAATGTTCTGTCAAAATTCTTTAGAGAATCTAAATTTCGTCTAAAGTTTCAAATGAAACATTTCCCTCGAAATAATTTTCGTCAAAATTTTCGTCAGAACACATTCCCATCAAAATTTTGAACGAAAAACATTCCGTCAAATTTTTTGACAAAATTCTTTTTTCGTTTAAAACATTTGATGGAAGAGATCATTTTTGTCAAAACTGTTGATGGAAACTAAATTTCAATAGAAAATTTTTTTTTTGTAAAAATTTCGACGAAAAAATAATTTTGTGACAAAATTTTCGTCTTTTGCAACGTAAAAATTTCGACAAAATTTTGTGAGAAAATCAAGTCAAAAACGGGTCAGGTCAGATTTGACCCAGTTCAGAAACCAAGTCAGACCCACTTCAGAAACCAAGTCAGGTCAGATCCAAACTGGTTCTGAACTAGTTCAACAAAATCCAATGCAAGTCAGACCTGACTTGGATCAAATTAAAGCGGGTCGGGTCAAAATACCTGACCTATAAAAACCAAGTTGGGTCGAGTCGGACAAAAACCTGACCCGACCTGACCCATGCACAGCCCTAATCTGCAGTAACTACGGCAGAAAAAATGAACCCTTAAAATTATAGTGTAATTTTAAATCAAATAAAGAATAAATACATCCTTAATGGTGGAATCTTAAAACCGGCTACATGAAATTGTTACTTCAATGAGAGCAGGGTTTATATATGAGTGATGACAGTTGAAGGCTGGAGCATTTTTTTTTTCTTTTTTTTTTTCTAATGGTTTGAAATGAGTAGGGAATACGAAATATAAATGAAGGCCGTAAGAATGCATTTTTAGGAAGAACGTTGAAAAACGAAGATTCGTGGGCAGCAGTACTTCATTTAATATTAAGCATAAATTGTGTGACTCATGTATAAAATACATTGATTTTTCAATTATCTACGTATATAGTTAATCGTTACATAAATTATCTATTAGATATTATATTAGACCGTGCTTATTTAAAAACTTTCCTTGCTAACATGAGATCCATGAGAAGATATGTTGAAAGATGTGGGACAGGATTGAAAGGGAGGGAGGGGATGAGAGTCTACACAGTAAAATTTAACCAAGTGCAAAGCATTAAAGAGAAGGCAGCCATGTCACAAATAATTAAAAAATAATTTCAGCTATTAAACTTTTGTTGTGTGTAGTTACTAAATATGTTTAGTTAATAATAGTAGTAATAACAAAAGTTAGACTTTTAAAAGTACATTATGTCACGTACCTAACCTTAAATGATACGTGGCATATTAGAAAAAAGCAACATGTTAGCTCGTGTAAATCCATAATGATCACATACTTTGAAATAACGATCGATGTGGCATTGTAAAAATGACTAATCTTTTACATTAAAGAATAAAAAAGTATCAATTATAAATAACGCAGCATTAACAGCAATATTATAATCTGAATTAAAACATCAAGCATACAACACTTTATTTATATGCATATAGATTAGTATACTAGTAAAACATTAATGACTATAAACATTAACATGTTTATAGCTGCACGAAGTACGGATTAAAACGGCTTGTTTAAGTGATTATCAATAATAGCCCAAATGAGTGATGTTATTTTTATCTTTATGAAAAAAATAAAGGTTTCATATTCTCAAATTACATTCTTGTTCTAGTATTTTCTTTCTATATGTTATTATATGACAAATACATTTTGCTTAACGCTTTAAAATTACTTTTAATTTTCTCATATAATTTGAGAGTCGCTATCCATTGATACCAATCTTTATGATGAATTTAACAACTAAACCACAAAAATTATAGTGACCACAGTGTGACACGTCTATTTTTTATTTTTTTTTGATACATTACACGTCTGTTTTTAGTGATTGAATAAATACATATTTATATGTGCTTGTGATTAGGTCCTTTGCAGTATGCAACATCCAGTAGTGTACAAAGAATTTTTTTTTTTTTTTTTACTTTTTTGGTTGTAACACCAGAATGCCAGATGCATAATTACTTTAGAAACGAAAATTATCTATATATATTGACCTATAAAAAAAACTGGCAAAAATTATATGCTGGTATATATGAGAATTTTGGGAGTGAATCTTCTCATATGTAATTTAACATGATCATGTCACGTGAAAAAATTCTAACCATAAAAAATTAATCAATGATGGTAATGGAAGAGAGAAAAAAAAATGGGATAGGAAGTTACAAAACCATTACCTTGATTTATTTATTAATGGTTATGAACCTCCCTCATAACATGGTCATGTTAAATCACATATGAGGGATCAATTTTCGAGAATTTTATTCTACCCTATATAAGTTTTTATAACTTTATTAGTAATAATCTTGTTTATTAATGATAACGAAGAGAGATAAAAAAAATATTGGAACAGGAAGTTACAAAATCATTACCTTGATTTATTTATTGATGGTTAGGAACCTCCCACATGATATGTTCATGTTAAATCATATATGAGAGGATCAATTTTCGAGAATTTTATTCTGAGTTTTTTTAACTTTATTAGTAATAATCTTGTTTGAAGAATTTAAGGTTACACATATTAAGTTACATGGAGACCCACTTATGCTCTCAAAAACTTTAAATTTCATAAATTTCCCTACGTCTAAATTCACTCGAAGGATAGGTTAGCTAGTCCTGCCCCTTATATAACTGGAAAGATGTATTGTTAAAACATACACACCTAACGGAAAGATATATTTATTAGGATAAAAATGATAAAATATAGAGAATTAACACAATAGCAAACATGAATGTTATACATATATCCTATTTATTTCCTGATTCTCTTGAACATTAGTCTCCTTTAGGAGACTCTCCTACCATTTCTTCATTGACAAAGTTATGGCAAACAACCAATATATTTATTCTGCGAATATGCCAATGATTAATATAATAGTTTATTATATACATGATACCTAAAGTCAAAACACAGGACCACGAAAGAT